CACACACACAGCCTCATTAATCCCACACAAAACACACATTATTGTCCTTGGTCGCGCTGGTATCTATGATACGCCGCCTGCAGTTCGGCGTCACTGGGCACCGCTGGTCCCCCCGGGGGCATAAATGGCGTGATGCTGAGGCCAACATCCCCCGCCCTGTGGGAGTGCGGCAGTCAATATCCTGCGTGGCATGTGGCATGTGGCATGCCAGCAGCCGCCATCTTGTGTGGCGCTATCATTGCCCGACAAATGGCGACCAATCACAGAGCGCCATCATCTCATCATTAATATATTATTATATTAATGATAATTTTATATTATAAGATTATTATTATGGATATATTAATTCAATATAATCATATAGGATTATATAGAATTAATATATTGGAATAACATAGGATAAGAATTATGTATAATGTGAACAAATTAAATAATATGCATAAAATATTTTTATAATATAATATAATGTAATTCATTGCATTGGGATTATATTATATTATGTTATATTTATGTACCCAATTAAATTATAAAAAGTTTTTATATGTAATATTTAATATAATGAAATTATGCATAATTTTTATTCTATATTATGATTATTCCAATTAATTCTACATATTCATATATGATTACATAATAAATAGTTAAATTACGTATAATTAATAAGATATAGGACTAACAATAATGACGACACATCATTATTCTGATATGTCAAATGATAATGATTGTCGTGATGATGGCGCTGTGTCCAATGATTGGCCGCCATCTGAGTGGGTGGTCCATCATCATCGGCCGCCATTTTGTTTCATTTGCTGCGGCCATCAGTCACATCACACATAACCATTATCATTGTAGTCCACATATTAGAATATAATATAATAATAAAGTATTCTTATAAGAATTTTAATGTGGTCTATATATTAGAATATCCCCCAGAGGTATAGTAACATTGGCCCACAGTTCAGTGGCCGCCGTCCACTCACCCGTCAACCCTGGCGCGCGTGTCGCCCCCGCCGCCCGTCGTGATGCCCGCGTCTCTCAGCGCCCGCAGCAGCGGCGGCAGCTGCGCGGCGCTCAGCCTGCAGCCCCGCAGCAACAGCCACTGGAACCTGGGCACACAAACTGCAGTGTCATATCATACACAGAGAGAAAATTTCAGGCCCGTGGGCGTCTCAAGTACATGAGACGCATAGAATATGTCTCAACTAAACTCTCAACTATGGAAGAATTGCTATTAATCTTCTCATCGTAAGTAAATTTGTCCGAGAGAAATGCCTAGAGTACTTTTTAAATGCCAAATTTTACCAGAAATTATTGAAGAAATAAGCAAACCGAAAGAAAAACTAATTTTCCTCTGCAAATGGAACGCGTTTGTGATGGGCGTGTAACGAACGCGCGTGCGTTTGTGTGTACGTTTACGGCTTGGGCTGGGAGCGGCAGTTCGAAAAGTGTCGCTGGCGGTTACGCTTGTCTGGCTCCTGTTTATATTGCTTTCAAACATTTGTTTCACAATTTTTGACTTGACTTTACATACAAATAACAATGTCCTCATATCACTGCAGTTTGTGCCTTTTTGAAACAAGGTTCTTAGCCTTGTTGTTTAAACATTATTCGACTCATCATTCCCACTTGCCCAATTTTCATGTAACTTGTGGAGTCGAGGGTTGCGTGAACGCTTACTCGAACGTTATAAGTTTGAGAAAGCATGTTTATAAGAAACATCCCCAGTTAAGAACTGTTCAAAATAAATGTGTAGAAAGCACAGCTCTACAAGAAGCTGAGTCGTCTGCAGAGATGGCCGAGAAGTCCAAAGTGAAAGTGGATTGTGAAAACTCTATTCTGGCAAACTCAGAAAATTGTCAAGAAAGTCAAAGCATGGAAGAGGTTGAAACAAGTGCTGTGACCAAATTCTTACTATATATTCGCGAGAAAAAAGGTGTATCTGAGGACACTGCCGAAGCAGTTGTCCAAGAATTTGAACAAATAATCAAAAACTGTATTACTGAAACTGAATCTGCATTGGATGTCTGCTCATTAACAGATCCTCAAAAATCACGCATAATGCAACCTTTATCAAACTTGNTACCAAGATGGTGGCAGTGCAAACTTTGGACGAGAGATTGAATTCACTCCTTTCACCAATTGTTCAAGGAGAACAATTAATACCTCTATCAAAATCTGTGAAATACCAGGGTTTAAATTACCAACAAGGATCAGTTGTGGTCACATTATCAGATGAAGACCTACAATTCAATGAAATTCAGGAGGTGGTTTATTTACATGGTCAAATTTACTTCATCACAAATACATTAATTAATGACCATTTCTCATCACATTTCCATGCATATGCCTTGAAGAGAACTGCATCTCTGAAAATATTAAAATATTCAGATATTAAGTCTCCCTTTCCCCTTCAAATGTATGAAACTGAAGGACAATATAATTTTGTGTCATTGATGCATTTCATTCCATCGCCAGATTAACTTTTGGTATAATAATGTTTGATTTCATTGTTAAATATGAAAATCGGAGTTTTCTTATAAAAGTTGACAATAAAGAAGATCTTCTTGAAGCTACAAAGCAACGCTTTCAAGAAAAAGGGCTTTTGAAGAGCCCTAATTGCCACTTGGAATGCTACATTGAAGGGTTAAATACCTACTGCGAAGTGGAATGTCAAGATCTGCCTAATACTGGAAAACTACGACTTGTTTTCGAAAATGACATACATGCTGGCAATTCAGATGATGAAAGGTGAGATAGCTATTAGCTCTTCTTTAGTACAATTGTTTTACAAAAATTTAAACCCTTAGATTCAAACCCAATCATTGATGACTTCATTAATAATAGAAATATTTTAATGTGCCAGGCTTAATTATTTCCTCTGTACTGTTTCAGGAATTTGAGTGCATGTGCAGCTGAGAAGAGTTTTGAAACCAATGCAGAATATGTTGGGACTGATGCTGCTACTGATGAGCTGCCAAAAACTTCCTTTGCAAAATTATCTGAGGAACGTCCACAGAGTATCTCAAACACTCAACATTGCAAATGGCCAGGAGTGTTTGAAGTCAATGTTTTCCCAAGCACCTTGAAGGAAGCTCTAAATGCTGGAGAAGCACTAACCAAAAAGCAAATGACGGAGCTTTTGGATTGTTTGTACAACAAAATAACAAAATATACCTTGTAAGTACCTTTAACTTCAGCAATGTAGCATGCCAAAGGAAGTACCGCATTAGATGTGTTGTATTTTCGCTAATATTATTGTTGGAATCTGTGTCACGTTACTCAAATTGGTTTTATGTGCATGTATAACATTATTTTTAGTGATAAAGGGTAAAGATTGTTGAACTATTAAATTATCTTAAGTTCAATATAAAATATTATCTTAAATGTATTATTAATATATTATCTTAAATTATCTTAATTTCAATATATCATCTTCATTTCAAATAAAGGACAGGCAGGGTAAATTGGGACAGTCGTTCCACATTTTGTACAAATGTTGTAGCAGCAAAACTCATCAAAATATTAATAAATAAATAAAATTAAAGCCTTATGAATAGCAAAAGAAGTTTCTTCGGAGATGCCGTAAGATTGCCCATGCAAAGGCCTTTAAAATGAGCCCAAACTTGTATTTGGATAAGAAGTTATTAATGAAAAACGCTCAAAACCGTCCCTTATTACCCCGTTTGACGTTACTTTTTACTTAAAACTATTTCAATAATTCTGCCTGCATCTTCTTATGACAACAGTCATCATGTTTATGTTTTACCCAACTACATAACTAATATATAAATTATATGAGACTTTTTACAACACTTCTCTTTAACTTCACGTTGTTTGTTTGTCTGCTACAAATCTTATAATAGATATTTAACACACTTCTACCTCTCCAATCAATATGAAATTCTGCACACTTGCATAAAATTGGAGACAATGCATGAATCAATTGACAGAATAAATAAATTTAAGATTAAACATTTTTTCTCAATATTAAGAAAAATTATAAAATAATTTTGTATTCTACAAATCTTATAATTGATACTTAAGACACTTCTATCTGCCCAATCGATCTGCAATATTGCACACTTGCATAAAATTGGAGACAATGCATGTATCAATTGACAGAATAAATAATTTTGAAATAAAAAAATTTAATATTAGGAAAAATTTAGAAATAATTTTGACAATGAAATAATATTTTTCTTGTCAAACAAAATGAAAAACATGAAATAAAATTTTAGACAATGTTAAAGTCTAATTTTGCTTTTAATATTTGAAAAAAAAAACCTTTACATTATTGTGCATGTGTAACATCAGTGATACTGGATTCTTTAGAAGTGTTGTCTTTAAAAATTACTTTTTAAATGCATATAATTTTAATTGTGCTTCAATTGAAAATCTATGAAAACAGTAGTATCAGAGTAATCAAGTAATAAATAATACCTAACAAAGGAAGGTTCCTCCACTCAATCATGCAAGCCCTTCCTCCTTTAATTTTTAACTCGTAATTTAATATTCAATTTTTTCACACAGCTATCCAACATCAGCCAACTATAAGGCTGCTGCAGTTGCCTTATTGGCCAGGTACCCTCAACTGATGAAAGCCATCAAGTTCGGTGATGCAGTAGTAAGTAACAAATTTTTATTCATCATTTAAAAATTTAGCTCTATCCATAATGTTTAAAATAAGTGATATTAATGTTTTTCATATTTGTCCTATTCATATACATAATGATTTTCCAAATGTTCTGCTGAACAATATAAATTAATCTTGAATAGGCTTTGATTCCAATATCACGTTCCATTGCCAGGAAATATGGAGGGTGAGAATTTCTATGAAGGCGAGGAATGCGAGACAACGACGGGACCGTCAAGTACCCTGTGTCATGGCGATGCGCGCTAAGAAGAAACTCAATGTGTCAGAGGAAGAAAACAAAGTCATACCCCCCAAAAAAAACCTGCCTAAAAACATGCTGGCCTATGGGGTCTTGAACTACCTACCTACAAGACCCGTTACAGAAGACGACATCTCGATTGAACGTCACCGAAGCTTGATGATCAACGAGTTGAAGAAGAACTCTCTAAATCCCCGCACCATAGAAGAGTTGATGCGCCTGACCTTCCATGATCGCAGGCGGCTTATTATTACGGAAACTGCAACAGTCGCTCACGTGGCTGAACTGTACCCGGCTCTTTTCAATCCAAATCAGGTTTGAATTGCAGAATCTAAAATAAATTTGATGATACATGGTTACTCGCATATTTCATGTCATGTTATTTACGCCGGTTTATCTAATAACCTAATGAAATGAGACCTGTGTTTTGCCCTCATTTGTACTCCGTTGAACTCACATTATCATACCGTACGTCCTGATTTTAATTTTACATGCCATTTTTTGGACAGATACTTTTCGAGTTCCAGCGTTTGACGGAGATCAACTTGACGGAAAGCCTTCGCGGAGAAATTAAAAAAAGCTGGCGTGCCATCCACTTACTGAGTCAAGTCGCCATCTCTGACCAGTCTGATTTGGACTCAGACGAATACGAAGGTCAGCCTAGTTCTTGAATGAAGTAGTAGTTCATGAACATCTTGGATTGATAGGAAAACAAAAACCATCTTGTGAATTATCACACATTGTAGTTTTTGCTTAAATTTATACATTTTATTAAAAAGTCGTCTCCATTTTTTTCAGAACGAATGATCGCCAATGCTTTTCTCCTCATTCCAGCATTAATGCGCGAAGAGATCACATATGACATGCCCTTGGAGGTTAGAATGACTTAGACCCTAATATTTTGCTATCATTACAAAATAACAGTAAATTTAAAAGAACAATTTAACTAATTATTGATATTTGTACCCAAAGACTAAAAATTATAAGTAATAATTTAGCTTGTATGCTTGATATAATAGACTTCTGTTCTGACCTTTAAAAATATTAGACTCTGATTCAGTGGGTTCATTTGACAGGAATCTACTTTGGAGCCCGCGCCAACTCTTCATTTCCGTGATGCTTCGGTGGCGAGCTCTGAAGGTGTCATCCTCGCAGAAGGCAGGACGATATGCCAAGTGTCAGGAATAACAGAAGGTTTCTTGGCATGGTTTGCCAGTTTTTATGTCTTCAACATGGCATATCCCAGATTTGCGAAAAAAACTTTGTGCTTCATCCAACGAGGACTACTTGGTCTCAAAGACAATACCAAAACGCCGTAAGTCGTTCTTGAAACAATGAGAAAAGTAGCGAACTTGAAAGGTTAAAACATTTGTAAGGGATTGCCATGTTGTAGACTATGCTTATCTTGGACCTTAATTTTATTTGGATCGATATGTAGACTTGAATTAATTTTTGATAGTGTTATTGCAAGCCAGTTTGCCAGTCTTAACGAGGCCAGTACTACTATATGGAATAGTTTAATAATTTAGTTCATTTATGGTTCATTTATTTAAGGCGTATATATACTCATGATTTTTTGGAATCAACTTCACCCACATTATTTACACTGAAGCTAATGTTGAGGCAATCCCTCCTGACTAGCTTAACATTTTTTCAGGTACTGTCGTTTTTATTTTTCTGCCTGGTCGCTGGTCTTCACCTCGCTGGGTCCTCTTCCTCTGTCGTGCCTCCCTCGGGAATGTGTGAGAGAGATGTTCTTCCTTTCGTTTGACGGTGTTCTTTTCTTTACATGATTTTCTTTAATTTCTATGGTTTTTTTTCTCTATGCGGTGTTCTTTTCCGTAGAGGATGCTTCTTAATTTAAATGGTGTTCTTCTCCTTTGACAACGGCCTTTTCTTTAGAGTACTTTCTATGATGTTCTTTTCTTCTAATGGTGTTCGTTTCTTTTGATGGTGTTCTTTTCTTTTGCTGGTGTTCTTTACTTTTGCTGGTGTTATTTTCTTTTGCTGGTGTTATTTTCTTTTGCTGGTGTTTTTTTCTTTTGCTGGTGTTTTTTTCTTATGGTGGTGTTCTTTTCTTTCGATGGTGTTCTTTTGTTTTGATGGTAATATTTTCTTTTGATGGTGTTCTTTGTTCTTTTCTTTCGATGATGTCCTTTTCTTTTGATGAAATTATTTTCTTATGGTGGTGTGTTCTTTTCTTTTGATGGTGTTCTTTTTTTTGATGGTAATATTTTCTTTTGACGGTGTTCTTTTCTTTTGATTGTGTTCTTTTCTTTCGATGGTGTCCTTCTCTTTTGATGAAATTATTTTCTTTTGGTGGTGTTCTTTTCTTTCGATGGTGTTCTTCTGTTTTGATGGTAATATTTTCTTTTGATGGTGTTCTTTTCTTTCGATGGTGTCCTTTTCTTTTGATGAAATTATTT